AGAATTAAGGCGATAGCCCGGCTGGTGTGGCTCAATGGATTGAGCATTATCCCATGGACCAAGAGGTCCCGGGTTCCATTTCTGATCAGGGCACATGCCCAGGTTGTAGGCTCGATTCCCAGTAGGGAGCATGAATGAGGCAGCTGATCGATGTGTCTTTCTCGTCGATGTTTCTATCTTTCCCTCTCCCTTCCTCTCTGAAGTCAATAAAAAAAATTTTTTTTAAAGAATTACGGTGTTTACTTAGGGCATAATTGTTCTGATGAGCAGATGTTGAATTTTAGTATTTTACCTAATTAGGGTAAAGGATATCTTGTTACTAGGACCTAAGAAAGTTTTTGTTAATTATTGATCCTCATAAGAAACTCAAGCAATATGTCCTTAATTTTTTGATCACTGACTCTTTTCTTAAGGATGTATTTTTCATTGATTCTGGAGAGATAGAAACACTGATGTAAAGGATAAACATTGATCGGTTGCCTCATGTACATGCCCCCAATGGGGAACAAGCCCAAACCTTGCTATGTATCGATTGGGAATGGAACCCACGACCCTTTAGGGCAAAGGATGACCACTGAGTTACACTGGCTAGTGCTGAATCACTGACTCTTAAAGTTTAATGTACACATGTTCTCCCACAAAATTTTGGTTTACATGTCTATTTAATGCTCAGATCAGAAACCACTGCTTTATTGTATTTTAATTGGTATCGTTGTTATGACCCATCATCTGTAGGCTGGGCATTTTAGTTTGTAGAAAGTCATTAATGCACTTATATTATTAATACTCTGCTGAGACTTTTCCACAGTTTACAAAGTTGTTCCTAGTAGTACTTGACTCATGGATATTGGTTTATCTTCCTTTTTTAGAGCTTCTTTTATTCTCGTAAGAATTTCATGAAGCCTTCTCACCAAGGGTACCCACACCGGAATTTCCAGGAAGAAATAGAGTTTCTTAATGCAATTTTCCCAAGTAAGTTTAAATAAATAGAATTGAAACCTGCTTTATTAAAGTTAGAGGTATATCTTTTCAGAAATCTTTATATATATATGAAAGCACATTTATGCAAATGTAGCATGTTTATAATTAAGATAAGTGTATCAATATAGTTGATTATAAATTTTAGAGTATATGTGTGTGCACCTCGGGTCATTGTTGTTAAAATGATAGAAAATGAAACCAATTCATCTTGATCCAGTCACTTGCTCTGATTTATATCTAACTTAGTGTATATGAAGGCTATGATCCCTTCATCCAGAAAAATGCCCAGTGAGTGACTGCATAATCCTCTGTTAAGACACTGATCCAGCATTCTATACAGGAATTAAGCTGCTTTATAAATGACCAGCACAGTGAGATCATAGTGCCTTCAGTATACTAGGCAAGATTTTCTTTCATTTACAAAACTTATATTTAGAGATCTTCTTTAAAAAAATACATATTAAGGATATGTGTGTGTTTTGGGTTTTGTTTTGTTTTGCTTTTTTGAGAGAGAGAGATGTGAAAAAGAAACATTGATCTGCCGAAACCGGTTTGGCTCAGTGGATAGAGCGTCGGCTTGCGGACTGAAAGGTCCCAGGTTCGATTCCGGTCGAGGGCATGTACCTGGGTTGCGGGCACATCCCCAATAGGAGATGTGCAGGAGGCTGCTGATTGATGTTTCTCTCTCATCGATGTTTCTAACTCTCTATCTCTCTCCCTTCCTCTCTGTAAAAAATCAATAAAATATATTTAAAAAAAAAAAAAAGAAAAGAAACATTGATCAGTTGCCTCTCATGGCCTGAACAGGTATCAAACTTGCAACCTAGGTATATGCTCTAAGATTTGAGCCTGCAACCCTTTGGTGTATTGGGCAACACTCCAATCAACTGAATCACCGGCCAGGACTATAAACCTTCCTTTTTGAGCTTTAAGGTCAAGGAACTAAGGGTTTTCTAATCCAACACCCTTATATCCTAGATAAAGCTGATAACTTAGGATCATTTTAATAATTTGACAGTCACTTACTGGCATGATTTTAAAAAAAAAAATCAGATTTCTATTCTTATCTACTAATATGAAACTAAACTGGTCTAAATCAGAGAGTGCTAATTGTAACTTAATGTAAATATCTACCAATTGTTAATTTACTGTGTTGAGTGAGGCTTTGAAACAATATGGAAAGTATTACATAAAATAAGTTGTATTTACTTGGGAGAGTAGATAAATGGGCAACCAAATTCTATTTCCTAATGGAGCTTTAGGGGAGAAGGAACCATAGTTTTCTCAGCACCACTTAGACTGACTCACTGGCTGCTGAAGAGAATTTCTAAACGACAGTCAGTAAAATATATACATATATTTTAAAGGGTGATGGGGGAGAGTCTTGCCTACTTGTGAATTCACCCACTTATTTTCCTTCACTGATATTTCTGGTAGGAGGCAAATAGTATCATCCCAGCTATTGGAAGGGTGAGAAAAAAACCATCCTATCAAATGGAACTGTTGCATTTATTTTACTTTCTCCTCCCTCAACAGATGGAGCAGCATATTGTATGGGACGTATGAATTCTGACTGTTGGTATGTTGGACATAATCTTACCGATTTTTTTCTTGTATATAAGATTACTTTAAATTGCCGGTTGTCATTTTTAAAAATGATTTTTTACTTTTGTATAGGTACTTGTATACTTTGGATTTCCCAGAGAGTAGGGTAATCAGTCAGCCAGATCAAACCCTGGAAATTCTGATGAGTGAGCTTGACCCAGCAGTTATGGACCAGTTCTACATGAAAGATGGTGTTACTGCAAAGGATGTCACTCGTGTAAGGATTTTCAGTAATTCTGGATTCTGCTTGGGGACTAAAATATATTGTTTAACTCATACTTGTTTTATTTTTTAAATTTGTATTTAATTCAGTCTCTTTTTTCTTTCTTTCCTTTTCAGGAGAGTGGAATTCGTGACCTGATACCAGGTTCTGTCATTGATGCCACAATGTTCAATCCTTGTGGGTATTCGATGAATGGCATGAAATCGGATGTAAGTAATAATATTTGCTTAATACTTATTTAAATATTTAAGTGTGCCCTTTCCATTATTAACACAAAACTATTTCTCTAAGGGAAATTATTGGACTATTCACATCACTCCAGAACCAGAATTTCTTATGTTAGCTTTGAAACAAACTTAAGTCAGACCTCCTATGATGACCTGATCAGAAAAGTTGTGGAAGTCTTCAAGCCAGGAAAATTTGTGACCACCTTGTTTGTAAACCAGGTACTTGGTTTTTTGACAATAAAATCTTCCAGAAAATAAGGGTAGTGAGGAATGTCATAAAATGGTACCTATCAGTCAGATACTAGTTGAGGTTTTTGGGATGAAAAGTTTCCTCTGTTTCGTTAAATTTCTATTGGTTCTTGTTTTATATCTAGTTAATTGGTGGGCTTCCCCCTGTACTGTTTATTGTCCCTGTTGGCAGGCCTGGGATTGGGATGGGGGCTGGTGGACATAAATTATCTTATCTCACTTAAGCCCATAAGAAGGCAGCTAAGATATTTCAAATACCATAGTTTTATGAAGATAAATGTTTTAAATATTTGTGGCATAACTATGTTGTTTGTGAATCTTTTGCAGGTTGGAAGCACTAACAGTTTATTTAATTTTCTTTCCCAGAGTTCTAAATGTCGCACAGTGCTTTCTTCGCCCCAGAAGATTGAAGGTTTTAAACGTCTTGATTGCCAGAGTGCTATGTTCAATGATTACAACTTTGTTTTTACCAGTTTTGCTAAGAAGCAGCAACAGCAGCAGAGTTGATTAAGAAAAATGAAGAAAAAACGCAAAAAGGAAACACACATAAAAGAAGGTGGTGGCTGCTTTTTAGATATTGATACCGGGGGCCATGCTTTCCATAACCACCACCTTGTAGTTGCAGAAAGCCCTAGATGTAATGATAGTGTAATCATTTTGAATTGTATGCATTATTATATCAAGGAGTTAGATATCTTGCATGAATGCTCTATTCTGTGTTTAGGCATCCTATGCCACTCTTGCTGTGAAATTGAAGTGCATGTAGAAAAAAACTTTTGCTATATGAAACTTTACAACACTTATGACAACAATTCAATTTGGTTTATGCACAGTGTAATATTTCTCCAGGTATCCTCCAAAATTCCCCACAGACAAGGCTTTCGTCCTCATTAGGTGTTGGCCTCAGCCTAACCATCCGGGACTGTTCTATTAAATTGCTGCCAGGATGTTACATCCAGTTACCTCCAATTTCTAGGACATATTCTCTACTAATGTTATTGAAAACAATTTCTACTTCATTCAGATGTTTTTTGCCATGGCAATTAAAGTTTTTCTTCCACGAGTGGAGTCCTCTTAAGAAAGTGATTGCAGTTAACCATTTTGTGTACTACTGTTTTAACATTATTGCTTCCTGAGTTTGTATTCCTTTCATTGATTTTGTTCCTCACCATGGTGTCTCCCCTGCCAACCCCGCCCCAATAAAGCAATACACTGTTACACTGGGTCTATACCAATCTTATACCCCAGAGGGGGAAAGGGGATGGACCCTAGGATTTAATTTTCTTTTAAGGTCAAGGGAGTTTTTATTGGCATTGGCTCTTTTAGAAGGTAGTGACAAAAGTAAAACTTCTAGTGTTGATTAGCAAGGAAGACACAAATTAATATTAAACTACACTGGCAGAACTATATGGGAACTATGCCATTCTGTGCTCTCCAGTAAAATAAGATAGCTTCTCATGAAGACCGTGTCTTTACTAACTTGCTAAGTTAGTAGTATAAAAAAAATTTTATCACTAAATTTATTAGCAAGGAGAAAACAAAGGTTATACTGGATTCAGTAAGTCAAATCAAATCATTCACCTTAATTTTTATTTCAGAGCGGCATGAATGTCATTGCCATCTTGTGACCTGAAGTTCTGTGACTGTGATGCACATGATAGTGTTCTGACTTTATGTGTTCCTCTTACTGGTGTTTTCTTCACCACAGTTTCAGAGGATCATGTGAATGAGAACTGTTCAGGTTACTCAGACATACACAGTGAAGCAGAAGGCTGTCCGTAAAACATACGAAAATCCAAAATGGTCAGTGGGAAATGACTAGAAATACAGGCTTTTAGGAGTTGGCATTTTTAGCTGTATTTGCAAATACTGTGAGATTTAAGCAGCCTAGAAAACAGCAAAGTCGACTACATTTTGTATTCTGTCCTCACTTTTTTTTTTCGTTGGGGCTTAATGCAGTGATGTTTTTGTTCCTTCCGTATTTATCAACGAAACACTTTTTTTTAGTGTTTCTAAACATAAAATCTACTTGGTTTTGAAATCAAGTGGTTGGATCACTTTTGACTTATTTTAAGCACATTCTTGATTCAAAGTTTCATTGAAGAAGCTTTCAATCAATGAATCAGTTTGATTCTGTAATTAGCACACAGTACCTACTGTTTTGGTGCTGTTTTGAGGACCAGTGCTCAAAGTGGATTTTCTTGGAACAGTGTCCCAGTGGATTTGATGACATGAGTTGGCTTGAGGTCTATTTTTTTTTTTCTAATACATTTAAGATTTCTACCTAATGTTGAAAAGCTACACAAATTTGTATGAAACAAAACCTAGAAAAATGAAAACTGTAGATTAAGTAGTAATTTAAATTAATCCTAGTATATTATGATAGAGGAGGGAAACTTTTGGTGCCATAATTTCTCTCTTCATGGTGGTGTTGGACTTAAATCAGGTGAAATGTATTTCTGTACCACAATTTAAGCTTCAATAAAAGTTTCCTTAATTGATTGTCTAGTGCCATTCAGAACATTTCTGTTGATGTATTTTTTAAATAGTATACATTATCAAATATTAGGCATCTAAAGTTTTTAAATTAATTGAAAAATCTATTAAATGATTATTTCCTAAGATTTGTGAGTTATGAAGACAAAAGACCTTTGAGCTCCTGGGAGAATGGCTAATTGGTATTCAGATTTAAACATTTTTTGTTAATGGCTTTATTAACTGAAGCTCAAAAGAACTATTTGGACTATGTACCAGGATATCAGAGATTAGAAAGGGTAAATAGTAAGAATTAGAATGTGTATTTGTGAGTTTGGTCTTAGGGAGTCAAAGGTTTGAAGGTAGAATGTTACCACATTCATTTATGGAACAGGCCTCATAATGGTGGAATGGAGAAGAACAAGCTGTGAGCTTCCTGTACTTAATTGATGGTTATTTCTATTAACTAGAACACAATTATAAACTTGATCTTTTTGCCTGCAAGAACTTATTTGTTAATCCTCACCAGAGGATATTTTTTCCATTGCTTTTTTATTTTTATTTATTTTTACAGAGAGGATGTGAGTGGGAGAGGGATAGTTAGAAACATCAGTAAGAGAAATATCAATTCAGCTGCCTCCTGCACACTCCCTACTGGGGATGTGCCCGCAACCAAGGTACATGCTCCTGACCGGAATAGACGCAGGCCGACACTAAGCCAAACCAGCTAGGGCTCCATTGCTTTTCAGAGAGAGTGGGAAGGAAGGACAGAGAGACTGGTTGCCTCTTGCATGCGTCGTCCCCTAGTGGGGGAATGAACCCACAACCCAGGCATGTGCCCTTGACCAGAATTGAACCTGAGACCCTTCAGTGTGCAGGCCAACATTCTAACCATGAAAGCACAACAGCAAGGGCTCGTGTACATATTTTGTGATTCTTTGGTAAAATTTCAGCTCCTCAGCCTCCTTGGCTACAGTAAACTGAACATCAGAATTTTATGAAAATGTCTATGCACATCTTAGGATAAGCTTATTAGAGAATATTTTCCAAAATTTGAGGTAAGTATTTATTACTTAGCATAATACTCCCCAGGTCCCTCCATGCTGTCACAAAGGGATCCTCCTTTTTTGCCGCTGTATAGAGGTGCATATATTCTTTCTGGTTGGTGTTCTGGATTTCTTAGGATATTTTCCTAAAAGTAGGATCACATAGTATCTACTCTTTATACCAGCAGTCACCAACTTTTCGGACCTCGAGGACCACCGGTTGGCAACCGCTGCTTTATACAGTGCTCTCATTTAGTAAAAAGTTTTTGAGAGCTTGAACCATGTATTGCTGAGTAGTATTCCTTAGTATGAATATACCACTTTTTTTTTACCCATTCTATTAATGAGCATTTTACTGGTTTCCTGTTTGGGAAAATATGAATAAAGCAGCTGTGAATGTTTGCATATAAATACTTTTGTGGCTTCTGGGTGTATAGTATTAAGCTGCATTTCTCTGATAAGTAATTTAAAATTTTTCTCAGCAATGTTTTGTGTGATGCTTTCTCATGCTTGATTTCTAGTATTTTATGTTTCATGATGCTAGGGAACTTTTCTAATTGCTAGTTTATAGATAAATAATTTTTAAATTTTGTATCATGAGACCTTGCTAAACTCATTATTATTTTTTAAATATATTTTGATTTTTTTACGGAGAGGAAGGGAGAGGGATAGAGAGTTAGAAACATCGATCAGCTGCCTCGTGCACACTCCCTACTGGGGATGTGCCCACAACCAAGGTACATGCCCTTGACCGAAATCGAACCTGGGACCCTTCAGTCTGCAGGCCGACGCTCTATCCACTGAGCCAAACTGGTTAGGGCTAAAATTATTTTTTGTTTTGTTTTCTTACTACACTGGTTAACACCTCTAATGCGTATTGAGTATTAGTGATAAGAGTTGACTGTGACTGAAGTGAGGTAAGCAAGACACCTAGGGAACAAAATTCAAGGATGAAAATTAGGGTGGTGGCAGTCGGCATCTGAGTGAGTGCATCCTTGCATTCTGCTCCCTGGGGGCTTTGCCTCAGTAGTGTCCTGATCCTTTAGGAAGACATTCAGTATTCCATAAATGTTTGCTGTTGGGTTTGTGTAGATGCCTAGATAGATGGCATCTTACATGGTCTTCTGTATAGTTCTCATGAATGGATGTTGACTTTTGACAGATACCCTTTTCCCCCATTGAAGTGGTCATATCCTTTATTCTGTAAAGATACTATTCCTGTCTTTGGGGAGTTTAGTAATTAAACCTTAGGACTGAAAGAGGCCCCCAAACATTGGAGACAAATGCCTTGTTTAAAGTAACTGCCCAGATGACTGTGCAGTGGTGGCCAAGGTGGCAGTAATTGAAGTGTTGTTCTCTGAGGTGGCAACGGAAGAAACAAAAGATGGCAGATGTTCTTGAAACAAAAGCAATTTTAGTTGATTTGACATGTTGACTTTACAAGACCTTGAACAGGTGACACCCCTCAATCTATCTGCCCACGTGGGAGTACCCCTCAAAACATCACTGACAGAAAAAACAGCCTTGTGCACCACCTCCATCAGCAGTGGGCCAAAACTGTCAAGAGCAACAAGGACCAAGTTGGCCTCCAGGGCTAGAGAATTACCAACAGCCAGGACATTCGCAAGGAGACAAGTCTCCCCCACAGGTCTCCCATCTTATCTGCTCCTGCTCCGGTCCCACCACATACCCAGCATTGGCCCGCCCACACCCACACCCCCACCTCCATCCCCTCCGTGCATACCTCTTCTGATGTCAAAACCTGTGTATTTTCCTTGCCTGTAAAATGTGCCGAGCCATGGTTAAAGGGCATGTCAGACAGTGTGATGTTAGATGCTAGTCACAAGCACCCCCACTCCAGATAACATCCTGCTCCCCAGTCCTCTGGAGATGAAGAGCATGTCTGCAAGGGTCTAGAGACCACCTTGCTGCAGCCAGGCAGGGGCTGGAATTACAGGATCTTGACTAGAGAAAAAGTGAACTGCTCGCTTGCACAAGTTCCCGAGTTCATATTCAAACACTGGCTCATCAATCACTCAGCTAAACCTTTTCTAAATAATTCTCCGTTTTTCCACCTAACCTAAACCTTGGGGGTTCAGTTATCTCACATACTGGTATATATTTACAATTCAAGAATTATTTTCCCATCAGCATGTTTGCTTCTTTTGACTTCAGTTTTAGCATTTTAGTAGTAGGGCAGTTTGAGGTGAACTGATTGCTTGCTCTAGAAATTTCAAAAATCCATTTAGGAGTTAGAAACTTAACTAACCCCTTAAAGTCCTTGACCTTGGTGCTCCCAGCAGATTAATGGTATCTCCCACTCACCCATGTTTTCCTGACCAGCCCTGACTGGATTCAAAACTTGCAATAGAAATTATGAAACCAATGCTGATGAGACTTTGGAAATACAGCAATTAAACCAATGCTGGTAGCCTTGAACATAGTTCCCAAGGAGGATAATCTGGCAATGCCTTTTTAGCTTGAAGTTTTTCAAAATAGCCATATACAAAGTTTGCATGTAGTTACAATTTAGATATCAGAATTTAGGGTGCTGGTTAATTATGTCTATGCAGCATAAATAAATGTTTAAAGGAAATGGGTTCACTGTAATAAGTAGGTAAAACTACAAGAAAGTTCAGTGATTTTATAATGCTGATTATGAGTTAAATTTAAGTCATAGTGCTAGATGATGAGAATAATAAAAATGAGCCACAGTCACAACCTAACAGGAAGTTGACATGGTGATGATAGACATGTGGTGCAAGAGCACAGAAGAGTGCCTCTTGCTTAGGAAGGTTGGGAAGTAAAAATAGTTGAAATAAAAATTGAACTAACAGCTCTACGAACCAACTAAATACCAAGGAAGGATGTGATATTCATTGTAAGGCAAATATTTTTTAAAAGGTCAAGGTGAATTGCTTCCTCTAGGAATTTCAAGAATCCATTTAGGTGGAGGTGTTGAAAGTGGAGGGAGATGGGGAAGTGGTTACTATGGTGGTGGAAAGATTGTGGTGGATGCTAAACTTAGATTTCATTTCCCCTTCCACTTCTGCCTTCAGGACCACCTCATTGAGTATTGGCTACTGGCAGCTCACTGCTCAGTTCCTCCCTAGAAATGTTCTCAGCTGAAGATTTCTGTGTAAGAAAAATGCTTAAAACAGTTTGGCAGAAAATTTAAAGGGACAAAAATAATCCTGGAGGGAGCTTCAAAATGGATTGCAGAAAGGTAGACTGGATGCCAGGAGACCAGTTAAGACTACTACTGGAGGAGAAGGTAAGAAATATTAGGACTTGTGAAGTTGCAGAGACAAAATGATAAATGAGACACAAAGAGGTAAAAAGTAGAAAGCTAAAGTTTTCTGATTTGGTTCTACTGACAACTCAGAAAAAGGAGGAGGGTTGGGATGGAAGATAATAGGCTTGCTTTTAGTTATGTTGAGTTTAATGAGCCAAAGATGGATAAAAAGAAACATTTGCAATGCTAGGATTATGAGATGATGGTCACTTTTTAATAAAGATTGTTTAACCTTTTCTGCAAACTTCTTAAGTTTGTTTACTTAAAATATGAAAGAATTGCTTAATATAAGTGAAGTAAACATGTACAATAGGCATTTATAGATTTCACAGAAATGTGGAGTAATAAACATAAGTTTGACAGTGCCATCTTGGTGATAGATTTATGGGTGTGCTTTTACTCATCTCTCTTTCTACAATGTACATCAACTGTTTGAGTGGTAAATAAGAATAACAAAGCAAGTGTTCCTGCCCTTGCTCCCTGATTCCCTGAGCCACCTACCCTGTGGGTACATGCAGGGATAGTAAAGGAGTGTGTGAATGAGAGCTCCCATGCTGAGCTGAGCATGTGGACTTCAGCCCTGATGCAGAAATAGGATGGAGGCAAAGCGATCGGGTGGGTTCCAAGACCAAGGCCTTGGCATTCATATATTCAAAAAGGTTGGATTCACACAGGAATCAGCATTTTTCTGAAGGATTTGAGGTAAAGGGTAATCTAGACTAAGATTTTTGACATGAAAAAGCAGTTTTTCCCAATCTGTCACTGATGGTTGCAATATGTCAATAACTATTAAAATGAATTTTTCAATAAGTGCAGCCTGATTTTTAAAATTTATTCAGAAGACAAAAATTATTCTACCAAATAGTTACAAAAACTAAACACTTGCCCTCAGTTTCTGTACTTACCTGGTTGAAAACTGATAACAGCTTGGGGCTTATACCAGTCAGCAGATGCTTTGTAGCCTGATCTAGCCCAGTTTGTACTTCAGAACGTACAAGGGGGAACATGACGTGAGGGTCATTTTCTTGTCTTTGTGGAAGTCATGCCTCCAGATAAAAAGAAGCAGGGATCCAAATGGCATTTGGTACCAGATGCTACCCCCACTCCACACCTCCCTTATTCATTAGGTCGTTCGTTCAAAAAACATTTGTGTGCTGGTACTACCTATCTGAAGGAGACGAGCTCTATGCTAAGGCAGAATAATTCTGGGTAATTTTTGAAGATTTTATTGGACATTTATAAAACATTAAAATATATGTGAGGTAAGGAAGTGCAACAGCACCCACATCCTAGGACACAACGTTCTTAGAGCTGAAAATATCATCCCATTTAAAATAGTCACCATTGTTACTATCCTGGGGCAGGAGGGAGGGATTATAAAAGGGCACAAGGAAATTTTTAGAGGTGATGGATATGTTCACCACCTTGTTTATAGTCATAGCTGTACACATACAAAATTTATAGAGTTGTTCACTTTTTAGTACTATGTGTAATTTATTGTATGTCAGTTATACCTCAATAAATCTGTCTTAAGATGCTGAAAGTTAAAATTTAGTTACAACAAAACTAAATTTTCTAATCATGATTTCACCAAATTGGCCATCCTACTTCTGCGAAAGAATAAGGGGTTTTCATGGTCCAAATTTTGTTTAGGACTGAGTGGATCAATTCAGATTTAAAACAAAGTGCAAGCTGTCATGTCAGGGTTAGTTAGTTCTAAAAGAAGCACAAAAACCCTGAAGCTTATGGGTGGAGGTTGGCCACCACCTGAACCTGTTTCAACAGAGTGTCTATTGTATGAAGTGAAACTGCCTTAGGCATTTTTGAAAACTTATCTAGACAATTTTGATAGCTGAGGCGTTTTTCCCACATTAGGCAAAAGCCCAAATATTTTAATTCCCTTATTTTCACAAACACCAATGCTTTTGTCAGTTCTCCTACATTGCATGTGTGCACATGCACACACACTTTTTCTTTGAATGTTAAATTTGGTAAAAGTTACAACTTGGAGAAATCACACTAGTATATAAAATAAAAATGTGTGGGATTTTCTATCTATATAAAACTTCTATTCATATGTTTCTGCTTACTACTTTCAAAACTCAGTTCATTTTAAAATTAATACTTCTGCACATTATATTAACCAAATTCATAAAAATGCAAATGATACATATATAGGGTGAAATTCAGTCACTCTTACCTCAATTTCCCACCCACCCAATTCCCTTCCTCAGAGGCATCCAGTCTTGCCAGTTTCTTGTATGAACTGCCAAAAAGTCTGTACATATACAAGCAAATATGTGTATTTGCATATATAGGTAAGTATGCAAATATACATATGTCTTAGTAGACAGCACACAGTCTTATAACTTTTTCCAGGCTGGTGTGGCTCAGTGGTTGAGCATTGACCTATGAACCAGGAAGTTATGGTTCTATTCCCAGTCAGGGCACATGCCTAGATTGCAGGCACAATCCCCAGTAGGGGACAAGCAGGAGGCAGCCAATCAATGATTCTCTGTCATCATTGATGTTTCTATTTCTCCCTCTCCTTTCCTCTCTGAAATCAATAAATTTATTGTATGTCAGTTATACCTCAATAAATCTGTCTTAAGATGCTGAAAGTTAAAATTTAGTTACAACAAAACTAAATTTTCTAATCATGATTTCACCAAATTGGCCATCCTACTTCTGCGAAAGAATAAGGGGTTTTCATGGTCCAAATTTTGTTTAGGACTGAGTGGATCAATTCAGATTTAAAACAAAGTGCAAGCTGTCATGTCAGGGTTAGTTAGTTCTAAAAGAAGCACAAAAACCCTGAAGCTTATGGGTGGAGGTTGGCCACCACCTGAACCTGTTTCAACAGAGTGTCTATTGTATGAAGTGAAACTGCCTTAGGCATTTTTGAAAACTTATCTAGACAATTTTGATAGCTGAGGCGTTTTTCCCACATTAGGCAAAAGCCCAAATATTTTAATTCCCTTATTTTCACAAACACCAATGCTTTTGTCAGTTCTCCTACATTGCATGTGTGCACATGCACACACACTTTTTCTTTGAATGTTAAATTTGGTAAAAGTTACAACTTGGAGAAATCACACTAGTATATAAAATAAAAATGTGTGGGATTTTCTATCTATATAAAACTTCTATTCATATGTTTCTGCTTACTACTTTCAAAACTCAGTTCATTTTAAAATTAATACTTCTGCACATTATATTAACCAAATTCATAAAAATGCAAATGATACATATATAGGGTGAAATTCAGTCACTCTTACCTCAATTTCCCACCCACCCAATTCCCTTCCTCAGAGGCATCCAGTCTTGCCAGTTTCTTGTATGAACTGCCAAAAAGTCTGTACATATACAAGCAAATATGTGTATTTGCATATATAGGTAAGTATGCAAATATACATATGTCTTAGTAGACAGCACACAGTCTTATAACTTTTTCCAGGCTGGTGTGGCTCAGTGGTTGAGCATTGACCTATGAACCAGGAAGTTATGGTTCTATTCCCAGTCAGGGCACATGCCTAGATTGCAGGCACAATCCCCAGTAGGGGACAAGCAGGAGGCAGCCAATCAATGATTCTCTGTCATCATTGATGTTTCTATTTCTCCCTCTCCTTTCCTCTCTGAAATCAATAAAAAATATATATTTTTAAAATGTATAACTTTTAAATAGGTAACACACCCATATGTTAAAATTCAACAGGCACAATTCTTGAGGTTTCCCTTCCATCCGTGTCCCTGCTTCTAGCTCATTCCCCGCCTAAACAACCCGTGTTACCAGTTTGTTGTGCTTCCTTCTGGACAAAGTCTGTGCATATATAACCAGGTTGTTTCTTTTTACTAATAACACAATCTTGCTCCACATGTGCAGGAACTTTACTGATTTGGTTTATTGTGTCTTCCCTAAGCACCTAGCAGCTCCTGCCACATAGTACGTGTCCAATAAATATTTCATCATCATTTTTAAATATATCGAGCAAATCCTGTTAACCCACCAGTGGCATTTTTTCTGTATCATACCTTTCTTGCTTTTTCTGTGATTAAAGTCCAAACTCAATCAGTATCTGCTTCAGACTACTACAACCACCTAAGTAGCCCCCTAGCTGTCTGTCTTACAGGGAAATAGCTCTAGGGAAAGAGAGAGAGGCCATGTCACATGACGGAAGGAATACCGGGTTTAGAATCAGACTGCTCGAGTTCATATTTCTGGTCTGCTATTTAGAGCCATGGAACCTACTTTGATAGACCTTTGCCTCAGTTTCCTTGCTTGTACTATATAGATAACTGTGCCTTCTTCACAGGGTTGTTTTAAGATTAAATGGGCTAATATGTAAAGTAGTTAATACGGGAGTGAGCAAAAGTGGGTTTACCATTGTTTGTATGAGAAATAATATAATAATTAGTAAATAATAATATAAGAATAGTTTCTCATACTCACAATTGTAAAATACATTTGCCTGCCCCATGTATATGTACCTGGCATATAATGTGTTCAATAAATGTTGCCTATTATTATTATAACACAATTCATCTTTCTTGAGCACTGTTTTGAGCACATCATAAGTCCTTTTTCATAAACCTTTAAAGCAGCTCCTCATAAAAATTGTACATTATCTACACTGAGCCTTAAGGCCCCTTATCAATTTATCTCTTCCTCCTCACTAAACCAGTTTCTTTTTTTTAAAATATATTTTGCCCTAGCCAGTTTGGCTCAGTGGATAGAGTGTCAGCCTGCGGACTCAAGAGTCCCAGGTTCGATTCCGGTCAAGGGCATGTACCTTGGTTGAGGGCACATCCCCAGAAGGGGGAGTGCAGGAGGCAGCTGTGATGGATGTTTCTCTCTCATCGATGTTTCTAACTCTCCTTCCTCTCTGTAAAAAAATCGATAAAATATATTTAAAAAATATATATAT